TGGGCTTGCTAGACAAGGAGTGAGGTGCCCTGCTCGAGCAAAAGGAGGTGGCATTAAACACGAACGTTATTATCCCCCCCCCAACCCCCCCACCCCCCCACCCCCCCCAAGAACAACCAATTTTGAGTCGACAGCCCGAATCCGGGCAAACGTATAGGACGCACCCTGGTTCTTGTATTGATATTTTCTTTGAGCTTCACCAGTGAAGGCCTCATTACCCATTTGGAAACCCAGCCATTTTTCTGGGCATGGCCTTGCAGTTCCAGGGATGATGGATGATACACGGTTCAGGGTTTAGGGATTTAAGGTTTTAGGGTTTTAGGGTTTAGGGTTTAGGAATATCCATCCTGCTGCAGTGACATCCTACTTGAGGCCCAGACCCACATGGAACAAAAAAGGGGGATCTGTTGAAGATCCTAAGCCCCACACACAATCCTGATGCTCGAAGCCTAAATCGTAAACCCCGAACCCTATGAACCTTAAAACGATTTTCAAACAGCGCCGCTGACCTAATGTAGACCCCTGATTAACAACCCCCCATCCTTTGAAGACCCTTAACATGAGGATCCGTCTGATAATCCCTATTAATGAGAGGGGGTTTATTAACTATGGGTCTACATTAGATAGTGAGCTAGGGTCCTTGAAGTTTTTTTTGCTGCCGGGGCTTTGTAACCTGAGGATGGTCTAAACTCCTTAAAAGGGGGCTTATATGGGATAAGGGGCTACATTAGGTCATTAGCGGCTACAGTATTTGAGGAGGAGCACCCAATTTTGGGAACCACACCTCGTTAACCATCATAACCATGATAATGGTATAATAATGAGAATGTTAAATACTAATAGCAATAGTAGCAACAACAGTACTAATAGTATCCAGAATAATAAGAAGAATACCCCCTGGCAGGTGCCCTTTATGCTTCTCCTCAACCGCCTCGCGGGCTTCTCGATGGAGTACCAGCGCTTCATCGCAATGTACTCCCTGGCACCCACGCTGATCATGGGCTTCTGCTACTATTACTACCTTTTCCGCAGAAGCATGTGCCCAGTTCAGTGTTGAGCATTTGTGTTTGCTGTTTTCCCGGTCAGGTGAACAAGAAAGACGAAAGACCTCCAAATTTCACGCCAGCCACCAGACCCTCCTACCCATATGAGCCATGATCTAGACTCCTTAAGAAAGGGTTATATAAGGGATTATATGTGGAAGTCTCATAGGGGTTACTAAGGGGGATGCTAGGAGGTTAGACTATAACCCCTATAATCCCCCTATATAAACCCAGTTTCCATTTCATTTTCCATTTTCTTTTCCATTTGATTCTCCATTATAGGGGTTATTAAGGGGGATATCTATGGCTCACATGTTGAGTCCTTAGCTCAGGCTTCAGATCAGCCTGGCTACGCTGGCCGGGTATGTCAACAACTGGGTGATGGCCACTGCAATTGCCATGGTCTCCTTCACCAAGCTGGTGTCACGTCTAACAGAATGACAAAGCACTGTAGAGTCTAGGACCTTACCCAACATGTCCAGGTAGCTGAATATCATATACTTGGGCCTTAAAGTAGATGTGTGGGAACTCCCTTGGACCCTATGTGTTTGGGGCTCAGGGCTTAGGGTTTAGGGTTTGGGTTAGCAGATGGGGCTTATTCACGGTCTGTCTGCGCTTCGTGCTGGCAAGGAGAGACGGCTTCACAGTACTATTGCCCTGGCTATGAGCATTATTGCTATGACTATGACCATTACCATTATTTCGAGGAGAGTGTACCTCTACCATTTCTCAAATCTAAAGCGAGTAGTATTGATCTTATTTTGAATTATTATACGACTAATTACTATTGCTACTACTATGATCATCACGGCTATTTTCCTCATTCTCTTGCTAGGATGATTATGATTAATACTAGACTTATCCCTTCCATAATGGCTACTATGATCAGCCGCCTTCAGACTTTACGCTACCTGGCCCTCCTGTACCTGGAGAAGCTCTTGCCCTCCTACTTGCAGGGTCCTTCGGCCCAACAGTTTTAGAGGGTTTAGGTTTTAGGGTTTAGGGTTTAGGGTGTAGGGGGGGTCCCCGTTTAGGGTTTAGGGTTTAGGATTCGTATGGTTTACGGGTCCCCCCAATAAAGGATGAGGATCAGACGGACAGGTGAGTGCAAGATGAAATGAAAACTGCGGTTTTCTTGATGCTTATGGCGAGTTGAGCCCATTTACAGAGTCATTGTCGGACATAGCTTGTTAGTTGCATTCCAGGAAGTAGCTGTTCTTGAGGCGTTGGCCTGAAGGCTTAGCTTAGAGGCTTGGAGCTTAGGGCGTTCTAGAACGGCCTTTTGCAAAGCCAGGCTGACAAGATATTCGCACAAATTTCAGAGGCTGTACAGTATATGTATATATATATATATGGCGGGGTTTCCGAAAGATTAGGGGTACCATTTTGGGGGTCCCCCAAATAAGGGTTATAGTATATTGGGGCCTATATTGGAGTCCCCTTATTTCGGGAAACTACCATATATATATATGTGTGTATATATATATATGAGCTGTTTATTGACCTTACGCTTTGGGCTTCAAAGGCAAAGAACAACTTGATAAGGAAATCCTTTTGGGCTGGGGCGGTACTCTTTCTTGCCGAGGATACATATCCTTCCCACTGAGCACCATTGAGAGCTCCGTGCAGAACGTCCTCCTGGTCATGTACGGCATGGGCGCGCTGCTTCTTGTTTCCTACCCTCTTTGGCAAGCAGGCTTACTGAATTTCACACGCTAAACCGCAGACTGCCAAACCACCACCCTCTTTGGTTGACAGCGCGTGCCCATTGTGTAGGCGCTGCGTTTGAAGTGTATATATATATATATGCAATCTATGAAAGCAGGTTGGCCGCACTTTAAACAGAGCATCGTGGCATTCTTTTGCGCACCCTACGTCCGGAAAAACGAACTCTGCATACCTTGTCCGCAACCCTGAAAGCCCGAAACCCCCGAAGTCCCTCGTTGGAGGCCCAGACTCATGCTAACCCAACTTAGCAGTAGTAAGGCCCGACTATAACCATGCCGAGATGATTTATGGGTTTTTAAGGCTTACTGGTGGTTAGTAGGGAATAAGGGAACATTAATTCCTAAAATATACATATATATCTATATATATATATATGCTTCTATCTTTCTATCTGTCTATCTGTATGCGTACATATATATATATATGTATACATTCCCTTATTCCCTACTATCCTCCCCCAGGAAGTATAGTTGGCCTCTAAAGCCAAGAAAGCTTGCAGAGGCCATCGCCTCGTCTTCGAGCTGGTAGGAAGAAAGGACAACAACCTTGGTACCTGGGTTTAGTGCTTAAGTTGGTCGAGGTTGAAGGCAGTTTTGAACGCTTTTTTATTGTCTTTACACTCGACACGGAATTCCAATGTTGAAATTTCTCATAGCAGACTGACGTGGAATCAGGTACATTCGAAGCCATCATGGAGATCTTGCATCTTGGTAGGGTTGAGAATCATGATTTTTTGACTTAGGGTTTAGGGGTTTAGGTGTTTGGACTTAGGGTATTGCAGCTTCTTGCGGGGTTCCCAAGTGTGCCCATTGGCTACGTTTACGTTTCCATGACATGGGGACCTCATGGGTATGGCTGCTGCAGTGCATTTTGTTGACTCCCGACTCCTTGAATGAGTGCAACAGGCAGCAGAGACGATCGTCATGAACTGATACGCTTACCACCGTCTACTAAAACTGATGCAAGTACCGAAGCTAGGAAGTGAACCTGATAAGCTTGTTGTCGCTTACCGTCTCATTTCTCAACCATAGTTGTTTTCAGAAGTTGGTACCTTCATCGCTTAGTTGTGCTCGTACCTTTGTTGGCTTGAAGTTTGAGCGATGTGCCTGCGCTGTTGCTCAACCCTCTCACACCCAATTCTGTCCTACGGGAAGAACCCTGGAATCTCCGTGCGACTCACATACACTCCAGTAAACGGTGAATGGTCGTTTGAAGCCCTAGCTGCAGGTACACCACCTCCCAGACTGCAGTGGTTACGCAGATGCAAACAGCATTGGCTGTTCTCCAGCTTAACTACGGCTACCCCTACCACTTCATCCATTACTTTGTCGTGCCGTGGCAGGATCATTTTTGTCGAAGGAGTCAGTCAAACAAGCTCTGTCCAACTCCTCGATCGGGTTTTATAAGGGACTACTATAGCGGTTATGAAGGTCCATTTTCTTTTCTTTGTTTCTCCATCATTGGTGTATATTGGGGTATATATAACCCTAAACTCTATATAATTAAGAAGTCATCAGCCTCTATAACCCCCTACGTAATCCCAGTTTCAATTTCATGTTCCATGTTCTGTTCCATTTGATTCTGCATTATTACTAGGAAGTCATCAGGCTAATTAGGAGAGGCTGGCATCCTCCTAGAGCACCAGGGGATGAGTGGTTCCACGTGTTTGTGGGTGGGGCTCTTGGGGGCTCCCCTAAAGCCCAAGCTCCAAGCTTTGACTTTTAAGCACTAAAACCCTAGAACCCTTAACCCTGAAGGCCTAGACGCCTGCAATCATAAACTCACAGACCTACAAGCCCAAAACCTGCAAACCCTAAACTCTTAAGGCTTAGACCCCTTAAACAAAACTCTGAACTTTGAAGTGCTAAAAGCCCGAAGACCTGAGGTGTTGGTGGAGCACATGTTTTTCCATCGGATGCTTGTTGGTGGTTGGTACAGCATCAGAAATCAGGAAAGTGTTATGAGAACTGGAGGGCCCCTTTATAAGGATCTACTTCGGATTTAGGGGAAGAATGCAAACACCATTGCAACATGAAGTGATAACCCCTAAGCCCTATGCTGCTTGCTTTCCTTCCTTTCCTCCCTAAAGCCTAAACCCTAAACCCTAAGCTGGGAAAATCAGAGCGACCTCACCCGACCTCCCCGTGAATGGTGGTCTAGATAGACTGTAGGGTTGAGGGTCTAGGGCTTAGGGTACAGGGTTTAGGACTTAGAGTTTGGGGCTTAGTGTTTATGGCTTCGGGTTAATAGGACTCCGGGTTTAGGGGGTTTAAAGGCCCAATTTGGCTTCAGTTCGGGTTGCCAAGTTATCACAAAATGGCCAGTATTGCATTTCCCCTTTCATGTTCCATGCCCTGACTGCTCCGACTCCTTACGAACCTCCCACCGGTAGGTGTTGCGTTTTAATCACTGTGGCATTTAAAAAACTATCCACGCAATAGTTTCTATGGCATGTTCCATTTTATTTTCCCATTGGTTCCCCCCGTACTCCTTAACACAGATAAATGATTCAGGCCCTGTATTACATATCCTCTTCAGCCGCTATATCATCTCAGTTTGCTTTTGATTTTCCACGTTCCTGTGCCCCTCATCCTGAACCCTACAACCGCTTCAAAGGGAGTGAGAGCGATCCGTTTCATCTTCAATGTTCTTTTCTATTTGATTATCCAAATTCCTAAGCCCTCAACCCCGAAACCCTAAATCATACAAACTCTATTAATCCTAAACCCGACAACCCCCAAACCCTAAACCGCCCACCCTAAACCCTATGAACCCTATAAAGCCCTGTGAACCCCAAACCCTAAACCCTGCAAACAATATAAACTCCCAAACCCTAAACCCCTGCACCCTTTTATACTGTAGTGGCTTCCCTTTTCTTTTCCATTCTCCCTACATAACACTCTAAACCCCCTAACCCCTGCACCTGTGCCTGGACCCCGAAAGTATGTAACGAAATGCCTTTATGGCTGTTATGCGATCGGCCATTTTTTTACATACCTTTGGGGTTGAGGTACAACCCTGTAAGCCCAAAATCCCATAAACTCTAAGCCCTACAAACTCTAAACCCTATAAACCCTAAACCCTATAAACCCTAAACCCTATAGACCCCAAACCCTATATAATCCCATATATAACTATATAACCCCTTTGGGTAGTAAGGATGGTGGAGCTCAAGTTTGCCTGGCTCCATAAATTGCAGCACGAGGCGCCATAGACATGAGCTGAAATGGTGTTATATAGGCGTTTATATCGATTTATGTAGGGTTTTATAGGGGATTATGTAGGGTTATATAGGGGACCATATAAGGTTTAGGGGCCCCGGGGCTGTCAAGTTTTTGTTTGGGGGGGGAGGGGGGGGGGGGTAGGGCTTTTACAGGCCTAGCTTCAGGGGTCCAGTGTTTCAGGCTGAGAGGTTACAATAGGGCATTCGAGCGGAGGGTTTGCAGCTTTAGGGTTTGGCGTTTGGCGCCTATAGGGGTTTACAGAGCTCAGGGTTAGTGTTTGACGGTTAACGGTGGTGCATTCTGAGTGTTGTTCTGTATTTGGTGCTTAGTGCTGGAGGTACAATGCAGAAGCCTCAAGAATTGCCAATACTAAGCTCAGGGATCAGGCAATCATGCAGAATGAAATGCAAACAAGACTGGCACATGAAATGGGAACCGACGTCAGATAGTGTGGTAGTTGGGGCCTGAATAGCTTACCAACTTTATGGTCTCGGCTTCCTTGCATAGTTATAACGGTGGAATACCTGAAGTCCTCAAAAGAATATTTATGATTATTCTGGCTTCTACTTTTGCTCAAATTTCATGTTCCATGCTTTTGAGTTTTTTTGAGTAGAAGGGTCAAAGGTTTCAGATGTTGTGGGTCTGAGTGACCCCATTCCCTCCACAACGCTGACCAATCCCTTCCCCTGAATAATGAGAAGCTCCCGAACCCTCCGATACTACATATTCCACCCCATTGTACATTGTACTGGGTGGGGCGTTTATGATTCGGGAGCAGGGGTGCATAAGCCGAAAACTTGGGGGGAGGGGGGGAAGGATACCAGGGATTGTCATGTCGCCTTTAATACGCACCTGGGAGGTTCCGGGACAATCTCCTCCTTGGGCATTGCAGTTACTTTGTGGGGCCGCTAAGATGTAAGATGTCCATGCTTTTGCTTGAGAGTGCCAAGCTTTACTAGTCCTGATCCATGTCATTACCCCCGTGGACCAAGAGCTGAGTCGATTGAAGTCGAATCAGCAAGATATCTTAAATCAAGATTCCTAAGCCTCAACAACTGTCATAAATTGAGGTGCAGCCTTTGTACCGTCTGAGCCACTTGGAGCATCATATCTGCGACTGGGCCATTGATGGAGTAGTGCATGCACTCTCTATGACAACTCTACCCTGGCAGACAGATTGCCCTGGCCCAAACTAACCCCACTTTTTGAAAGGACAGCAGTCTTTATAGGTTTCTGTGGCGGGGTTTCCATGGTCATAGCTTTACTTCGCATGGTCCGATGTTTTGCTGAGGCAAGGGCACCTATCCGACTACCCCAGCAGCCGGAATCTGGGAAGTTTGGCTTGAGGGTGGCACTCTCTTCTTCTGCAACAGCCTGGCCTTGCTCCTTGGGAAAAACAGGTGTTAGTCTTCTTTTTAATGCTTCAAGAGCTTACTTACTATGCTTTATGCACCAGATATAGAGTTTATGAAGATCTCTCCATAGCCAAGTCAGGATCCCCTACAGCCTCTTCCATGCAGCCTACTCCGGTGCCAATGTTGTAGTTCACACGATGTGGCCCTTCAAGTCTTGCGTCCAATGGCACACCCTCCATCACGTCCTGCACAGCGACGTCTATGCACTCAACATCCCGAGCAAGATGGACGAGCAGTTCTCCAGGGATGTGAAGCAGTACAAAGATCGGCTTCAGTGTTCCTGGGTCGCTGTTAAGGAACCCAAATTAAATTACCATAACCTGGACATGTAGACATGTAGCAAATGATGTGGTTCCTTGATTATGGTAGCTTAGCCTAAGGTCCTTAACAGCAATCCAGGTTCCTTCTTCATGCGGCACGAGAATGCATCCGACTTGGCAGGCTTTGCGATGGCTTTTGTGATCGGCGTCATTCTCCACTACGGATTTGGTGTGGGCCTCTTCCATGTGTGGCACGAGCGCGTGCTGCACATGCCGGCATGATGTGGTGTACTTCTTAAGAAGTGTTTGCCACTCACGCTGGAATCACAATCATTCTTCTGATTTATCGTGATCGCCCATGCTACACGGAAGTTTGCAAGAAATTTCCAGCATGTGGTGACCGCCATTATTACGATATGCCCGTATCCCTGTATAGAAGCTTTTATACACCCATCATTTTTCAGGCTGACAACCTGCCCCAATGCGGGGCGGGTGAAGAGCCACCCACACCCCTTCTGGCATAGCCGGATAGCGGCCAAAATTGTGCTTTGGGGTTTAGGGTTGCGGGCCCAAATTTGTGAAGCATTAGCCACTGGAATTGGGCAAGATCAGCTATGATAGGAAGTCTTGAAGGGATTGAAGACCACCCTCTCTCTGCTACGTGCTGTTTCTGTCATCCAGAGCACCAGATGTACTCCATCTCTGCCGAATTCCATAGAAATATATATATATGTGTATATAACCTATATACTGTAAAACACCATTTACCCTCGCCCCACCTCGACTCGACATGAAACACAAAAAAGGACCCCGTAGGGATTACAATTGTGATTTTGACATTGGCTTTAGTAGGGGAATACCGTGCTTGCTCAGTATTCAGCAGGGTCAGCTGTGAAAGGCGCTGGTTGGATGCGAGATGCACGCAGTGATGCGAGCGGAAGTGTTTGTGTGGAGACTTGTATGAACAGGCTTCATTATCCCAAATACAACCCCAATATAACCCCTATACAACCCCTATATAACCCCAATATACTATAGTAGTTTCCATTTTCTTTTCCATTATCCCTATATATCCCCAATATGACCCCAATATATTGTGTTTTTGGGCTCACGTTGGTATTCTACCAGGTGCCCCACTTAGGGGCCAGAGCCTCATGAGGAGAACGTGCCCTGTCCCCTGTTCTTGAGGCAGCTACATGTTGGGAGATCTTTTTCGATCAAGACGGGTTTCAGCTATTCCGTCTGATTGTGTTTGTATCGACGATTATCTTTAGCGATACCTTTTTCGTTCTTTTTCTCCGCCCAGATTTGGATTATATCAATCATGCTGGTCATATTGGCCTACACGGGTCCCTTTTCTCATGTCGGGGTTCGAAGTTCTTAATGTTGGACCCTCTTTAATAAGTATGGCCCCCCCCCCAACATTAGGGCCCTCCGAAAAATAGAAATTAGGGATCCTCAATACGGCCCCCCTGAGCTCCCACAGTTCTGAGGTCTCCGTAGATTGATTTAAAAGGGATTGTTGAGAATCCTTCCTATATTGTTAGGGCCCCAAAATCGAAACTCATTAAAGGGGACCTTTCAATCATTGCCCTGATCCTGAATAGGCCGGCCCCTAAACTCATTATAGGGGACCTCGATAATAAAGGAGGTCCAACATTAAAAAAGAGTAAGACAGCGGCCCTGAACCTTAGACCCTAAACCCTAAGAGTTTAGGGTGGGTGTTATTTTGACGGCGCTGAGCAGCGCCAGTGAAGACGCCCAGCAGGGACGCAGCAGCTTAATGTAGAACCCGACATACGTAAATCACCAATAGGGTTTACGGTACCAATATTAGGGAACAATAGGATACTTTTGAATATGCTGCCATCAGGGTTTAGAGTTTTAGGGTGACAAAAGAGAAGACCCCTGAGCCCTAGACCCATAGACAGTTAAATGGAACATAGTTGACACTGAAAATAAAATGGAAACAGGGATTATCCAGGGACTTGGAGTCTTTTTGCGGTGTAGAAGCCCATACAATCACCCTTTGTGCGGTACCAGATTCCTTTACAATTACGATAGAAGGTACAGCAACATGAAGTTGGCCATTAGTTAGGTTCCTGCAGTAACCAGGCTCTGTTGGGTTTAGCGTGTGGCCCTGTCTCTTGAGACCATGACCCGCAATGCGTTTCTTCGTGACGTAGGGCATCATTCAGGCCTGCTATCCTGAGACGGGGATAAAGGTTTAGGGGGACAAAGGTTCAGGGCTTGGAGGTTGGGGGTTGCGGGGGTTGCGGGTCAGTCCCCCAATCTGAATCGCGCTGCAGCGTCACAACTTGCCATGACCCCATAGTGCACACACGCAACCCAGATGCTGTGTCCCATGTTGTTCCTGCGATACACTTGAGCAACTATCTTTGTCTCCTCAACCTGAGTAAGTATCTGGTTCCTTCCAACAAGACCCTTTCAAACCCTAAACCCGAAACCCTAAACTCAATTTGTACTGATTCTGCTCCAGCAGGTTTGCGTGATATGCGCCCCAAGCTTTAAGCCGTCCCAGAAATTCACACCAGGATCACTAGACCTTCAAATCCTAAACGCTCCACCGCTAATCCAAAGCAGTTAGCACCTCATCCTTGCACTATGAATTTGAGGTCCAACTATGGGCCCTTAATCCGATTTTCCTGATATACCTATGGCATACCCTATGGTCAGAACCTTAGGATGAAACATGCGTGCATCGCAAGCCTATCGGCTCTGTCAGGCCGCAGAGCATCACATGTAAAGCCCTGTCCGTGAGGGAAGCTGCAAAGATTCCAGGCACCTTCATGGGAGTTTCCATAGATATCGGCCCAATACGCACCCCGGTATTCTACATTTTCTTTGAGAGGGGCAGCCAAAAAAGGGAACATATGGGGCACGTGAAGCTTCAGGTGTTCTATCAATTGTGTTTGGACTGGCCTGAGGAGCTCAGGCACCAGTGCGCTTCTTGACTCCCTCGGAAGCATAGATCCTTGAAAGCCCACACTCTGAGTCCTAAACCTTAACATCAAACCCATCTGAGCCTTAAAACGAAATGGGGATCCTCCTGAATTTTCGAGGATGTCCTTACGCATACAGTGCAGGAATAGGTCGAGCAATGAGTCGTCAACAGATGCATCCATGGGACATCCCAACCGGTCTAAAACAGTTGTCATTACATATTTCAGGACTTAATTTCGGATATCCTGCAATGACGGAGTTGGTCCTTGCTGCCTGCGAGCATCTGGGTGGCGTTTGGGATACTTTTGCTTTCCTCCTTTGTAAGGGCCCCCTCTGTATGTGTGTATATATATATACACATATATACAAAGCTCCAAAATTATGTTATTATATCTACACGCGCAGAGTACTAACAGCTGCATGTGTTTCTGTATTGCAGCGGGCCTGTTTACCGAGAGTCTGCAAGGACAGACAGCGATGCGGTGAAACCCTTATCTTTGAAGGATACCAATGCACCAGCGTGAGCCTGGAACCCCAAACCTTAAGCCCTAAACCCTAACCGCTATATCATCCCTATATAACACCTTCCATACGCTTCCAGAAGTTACTGGCGGAGGTTGACGGCTGGATGTCATAGGTGACAGGTCTTCCCAACATTTTTTGGGGGGAGGGTGCGAAATATGGCTTTGAAAACCAAAGCGCCACATTTTGTACAGATCCTTATTATAATTCTATTATCAGAAGTGAGGCCTAGGTTGATTGAGGACATCTTGCACCACGTGAGAGGCCCTAAAACAGTGCGCTTCCTACTTGGATGTATGCAGAATAGTATGTACCCTATTATTCAATTTGGGTTGTAACAAAATTACGTATGAGCCCACTAGTCAATACTCAAGAAACATCGGCAATGCACGCCTCTAATCCACTCGTCCACTCCTAAGCACGAGTAAGATCCTACAAATCCCAGCCTGAGACCCAATGCTAAACCCTAAGCCCTAAACCCAATTATACCCTAAACCCAAAAACCAATTCTACACGAAACCCGTATACCCCTAAACCCTAAACCCTAGACCCTAGACCCTAACCTAAACCAACCCTAAGTCCATCTATATTCGCCGCAGGCCATAAGCGGGGAAACTTGGCGCCAACAAGTAATCTAGTACCCCAGTAGTTGCCTTTTTCCCTTTTTACTCTGAGGTCTCCTTATGAAAGCTGAACATTCAGAAAAAGGCTACTCTTATCATTTTGGTGGAGAACCTGGTAATAAATAAGGACTTTCTCCAGGAAGAAACGAGGACTAATCAGCAGATATTATAATCCCCGCAGATTTTTTAATAGAAGTCCTAGGGGGGTAGGGGTTGCCAAAATCCTCTCATTGAAGCTGCCCAGGCATGGAATCCTTGCCTCGGATTTGCGCTCGGGGGCCCTTGTGACGAACCTTGGCAAAGATCTTGGTTGTTTGGATTTCAATTGGGGTGTAGGAGGTGGTGCTTAATGCTATGCTTTGGGAGTTTTACACTTCAGGGTGTGCTTCGTAGAGTTTCGAATAACACGGGAGTGTCTCAGAAGAATGCCCAATTCCAAGAGGGTTTCCAGTTTTCGAGGCAGGAGATCGGGCAAGAGGAGCTGCTGCTTCATGAGTACTCCTATACATCCCAGACACGAAGCAGCAGGTTCAGCAAATGTACAATTTTGTGAACTTCGATGGGTCTAGGTTTGCAGTGGGATGCTGACTTCAAGGTTTGGTGCTATGAGAGGAAGTAGACAAGCAGGACCCCAAGTCACCTGATGCTTGTGTTCACGCCAAAATATCAAAAGCATAGAAAATTTTTGCTGACTACAAACGGAGGCAGGGCATCACAAAGTGCCTGTGGCTCCCTGTCCAGGACTCTCATGACAGTCCCTTGTCCGCGTCTCTATTTAACTGGCTAAAGCCCCATGTACTGCTCAGGCGAAAGGGGAGACCCAGAAATTGGGCTTAGGGTGTAGGGTCACAACAATCAATTGCTGCTTGCGGCAGGGGTTTCGTAAATAGATTCACCAAAACGAGTACTGGGACCTGTCACAAGCATGGGCCCTTGTTGGGGACTCGAAAGTACTTCAGGGCGGTAGCTGGACATGCGTTTTGAGAAATGACCATATGGTGGCTTCTCAATCTCAATCAAAATCACCCCTATGCTAACCCTCAAGTGTGACGCCCACGTAACCCCTTCAATGCCCCAAAGGTGTGCAGGGTTTTCTACACGGACCGTAGAACTTGCCTCCTAAACACTAGACCCTGAATGTCCAAAACCTTCTGGATTCCAAATGCCTAAACC